AGGGGGGGCCTGCAGGGGTGGGGGGGGGGCGGCCGGGACCCCTCCGGCCCCCGGAGAGTTAAGTGACGGCACCGAAAGGGCATCTGCGCAGCCCCAGTGGCCTAATGGATAAGGCACTGGCCTCCTAAGCCAGGGATTGTGGGTTCGAGTCCCATCTGGGGTGGCTCCCCATTTTACTGTGCCGAGCCCCCTTTCCCTGCTCCCTCTCGCCGTTTTAGTGCTGCCGGGCCTCCTCCTCCTCCTCCTGCCCAGCAGGATCTGCCTTTGCGCGGTGGGCAGACGTTCCCCATCGCTGGTGACAGGTGTCAATTAAGGGCAACGGAGCTGGGGCAGGGTCTGGAGCACAGGTCTGCTGGGGAGCAGCTGGGGGAACTGGGGGGGTTCAGTCTGGAGCAGAGGAGGCTGAGGGGAGACCTCCTGGCCCTCGGCAACTCCCTGCCAGGAGGGGGCAGAGAGGGGGGATGAGTCTCTTGACCCAAGGAACAAGCGCCAGGCCCCGAGGGAATGGCCTCAAGCTGCCCAGGGCAGGGTCAGGCTGGCTCTGAGGAAGGATTTCTTTGCAGAAGGGGCTGTTGGGCGTTGGAATGGGCTGCCCAGGGCAGGGGAGGAGTCCCCATCCCTGGAAGGGTCGAAAAGTCGGGTTGACCCAGCGCTGAGGGATCTGGTGGAGTTGGGAACGGTCAGTGTGAGAAGTGGATAATCTTCAAGGTTTTTTCCAACCGAGATGATTCTGATTCCGTGAGGTATGTGCACCAGGGGAACCCAGAAGTGTGAATAAACCAGCGCTGCTGAATGTCTGTGTCTGAGCACAGCCACTGGAGCCAGAGCTTGTAGCGGGGAAGACTGAAGAGGAAGGTCTGGATGGTCCACGATGTGTGTTTTGGGGCAGTGAGAGCCCCACCGTAGCTGCAGGCTTGCTCGCTGTGCCACCAACCGCTGTAACTGTGGTTATCTGCTCCCGGGCAGCAGTCTCATGAGAAAGGGAAGCAGCGAGGAGCAGCTACAAACTGCCCCAGGTTTCGTGCAAAGGTGGATGCTTTATCCGTCCGGCTGTGCGGTCCTGCGTGCTGAGTGCTCAAGTGAGGCTGTGACTGAGCTTTTGCCCTGGGACCTGTTGATGAAAGGATGATTTTTTGGAGAGCTGTTAATGAAAGGATGGTTCTGGCTTGGGCACAGACATCTTTCAAGGTGTCCCAGGTGCAAAAGCAGAGCAGGTAAAGCTGTTTATTTGGCCTTGTCTGGGCAGAGCTGGGTCTGTGTTGGGTCAGGGTTGAGCAGAGAATTTCATTTTCACCCCATCCAGCTGCCCCCTGTACCATCAGCTCCATCCGACCCCAACAAAAAAGCCAATTGATGCTGGGGGTTGACTACCTTACAGGTGTCAAGTAAACCTCTTCCTAGAGCAGGACAAGATCTAATGAGAAGAAAGCTTTACTCCTCTGCCAGAAACCGCATCTCCGCAAAGGGCTGGTCACTGGGGTCGCGCAGTTTGGCTGTGCTGCCCTGGGACCAGAGTCCTGCGTGTAAGTGCCTTTGGGATAATGTGCTCTCAGGTTTGTTGCATTAAAAAGATGCTTGGTGGGTCTTTTCCTATGCAATTAACGGAGTTTAAAAGGCAGCTGTGGTCAGGGTGATATCACACTAGTAAAACCTAAAGTGAAGTTTCTTTCCAAGTAATTTTTCTCTCTTAGGTGTGGCAGGAAATTACTCTGTTGTCTGGAAAACAGCAAACCTGTCAAAGCCCCTGGTGCTGGACCACCAGCAGCCTCAGGCAGCCGAGCTGCAGGTCCCTGTGCTTAGGGACTAAAGGGGTGTCTCCAGGCTGATTTTACCTGGGTTGCCCTCTACCTCTTAGGGTGACCAGTTTCAGGGCCGTTGAATGAAAGCATGGCCAGAAAACATTCTTTGTACCCTTCTCAAGAGTTTGGATAGAGTTAGGTGGCTCTTGGGGGTATTTGATCACTTGGCTTCCTTCAGGCAGTGTTTTCTTTGCATCTCCTGGAGACGCTGTACCCGCACTCCTGCTGGGATGTCCTGCTGGCAGCATCCTGAGGGGCCTGGGCTGGTTCACTGCATGGTCAGAGGGACTCCCAGCAGCAATGGCCTTGCTTGGGTGGCACCAAGGTTTGTTTCTGCTGTTTCTCTCCTCATTCCCCCTCTGGAGCGCTGAGCTTCAAGCAGCAGAAGGCTGAACCTGTGCTGCTTCTTATGAGCAGGAGTGTCTTTGCCAGCTGGTGGGCAAGGACCAGGGTGCAGAGAAGGAAGAAAAGAGCTACGGAGGAAATGCCGCAGTGACACATTTCTCAGGGCTGCAAACTCCCTGGCACTGGACAAGGGCAGGCAAGCGCTGCCAGCAACAAGGAGCTTCCTGCAGCCCTGCCTGCTCCCTGGGGTGAGGCCCCGGGGCCAAGGGAGACTCAGTCATGGGGTTTCAGACCCCTGGTCTGCAGTCAAGCACCAGACCCACTTGGCCATGCTGTCCCCACCCCACATCTGGCTTGGGGCTGCCCGCCTGCACCCCCCCATCACACCGGCCTCTCCTCATCCGACACCCCTGGGATTTGCAGCCCACACCCCTCTGTCGCTGTGCCTTGGAGAGCTCTTGGGGGACACCGGGGGTGGGTGGAGCTGGGGCTGCTACATGCTCTGGACTGGCTGCTGCCGCCGGCCATGCTGGGAAGCTTTGCACACCCGCAGTGTACAGTGTTCTAGTGCAGTATTTTCTCTCCAGCATATCTCTGCTCAGCTTTTGTTTGGACACAGTGGAAAAGACACACTGGTTGAAGCTGAGCTGAGTGTAGCCCAGGAACCAACATGTCCCCAAAACCTCCTTGGCCGCAGAAGAGGTTAAAATACCTTCCTGCTCTGCAGTTGGCTTTGGGAAACACTTTTTAAGGATTAGATGAGAAATGAAGGTTTTGGGGAGAAGCCAAGCTGCACCAGGAGGATTATGCAGGAGGTGTTATTGATAATGAACAGGAGCTTAACGAGGCCCATGGTGTTTCTCCTTGTACCCTTCTTCCTTTCCAGTAATGCCCAACCCTGGGAGTCAAACGCCTTCCCTCCTGCTTAAGGCTCATACACGGCCTCGGCTGGAATAAAAGTCTTGACTCCGTGAGGATATGGCAGGGAAGGCCTGGACTCGTGTACCCCTGGCAGCTGGAGGGTGACCCCAGCTTCTCTGTGTTGGGGGTGTCTCCTGGACGGTGTCTGCTCTTTGCATGTGGGCCGCATTTGTGTTCCGAGTTGCTGGCATCCTCAGCAGGGCTTGCGCAGCGGGCAGCAGAGCCGCTGCCGGGAGGGGAACGTCGCCGCGCAGCCCGCAGGGATCCCCCCGGCAC